TGGGAATGGGGTGGAGGGGTTTTACTTAGCCAAGGATTAAGCTAGGGGGGGGGGAAACAATGACAGTTGAATGAGATTTTTTGTAGGTGCCCATCAAAAGTTGGTCAGATGCACAACCACAATCCAGACACCCTCAGATACCTGAGTCAGCTGGTTTAACCCATAGGGAGACAAATGCCTTTTCCGTTGGTTTGAAACCAGGAAGTGAAAATGCTCTCTTACATTGGTGGTCAGTAGGAAGAATGCTTCTTATATTGGTGGTCAATGGGAAGAATTCTCCTTACATTGGTTGCCAGTGGGAAGAATGCTCCTTACATTGGTGGCCAGTGGGTAGAATTCCCATTGCCATGATGGTCAGTGGAAAGAATGTCCCTTCCATTTGTGGTTAGTGGGAGGAATACTCTTTACATTGTTGGTCAAGGGAAAGAATGCTCATTACACTGGTGGTCAGTGAGAATAATTCTCCTTACAGTGGTTGTCAGTAGGAATAATGTACCTCACATTGGTGGTGAGTGGGAATAATGTCCCTTACATTGGTGGTCAGTGGGAAGAATGCTCCTTACATTGGTGATCAGTGGGAAGAATGCTTCTAACATTGGTTGTCAGTAGGAATAATGTCCCTTCCATTGGTGGTTAGTGGGGGAATGTTGTTTGCATTGTTAGTCAAGGGGAAGAATTATCCTCACACTGGTGGTCAGTAGGAATAATGTCCCTTACATTGGTGGTCAGTGGGAAGAATTCTCCTTACATTGGTGATCAGTGGAAAGAATGCTTCTTACATTGGTTGTCAGTAGGAATAATGTCCCTTACATTGGTGGTCAGTAGAAAGAATTATCTTTACTTTGGTGGGCAGTGGGTAGACTTGCCATTGCCAAGATGGTCAGTGGGAAGAATGGTCCTTACATTAGTGGTTAGCAGGAAGAATGCTCTTTACATTGGTTGTCATTAGGAAGAATGTTCCTTCCAGTGGTGGCCAGTGGGAAGAATACTCCTTATATTGGTGACCGGTGGGAAGAATGCTCCTTACATTGTTTTTAGTGGGAAGATATCTCCCTCTACAAGGGGCATTGGCCCTGCAACTGTGCAGGGATCATCAGTAGAAGATCAATCCTCTACTGCTGAACCCCTAGCAACACCTGGAGGAAACCCTAGTTGATAATGGCTGCTTTAATGCACATAATCTAATCTTCAGTGAGTATTTCTGGTTTTGAATGCTTGTTTTTATTTATAGATTTTAATAAGATTCTTCTCATTACATATGCACAATTTCCTTCATGCTCAACATAGTGATTGCACTTTAATTCTCTAGCTCAATTCAAGCCTATGGACAGTTCTTTCAACAGACTATTAATGAAAGCAACAGTATCATTTCAGGCTAACCTGAACAGAGATAGAAACCTGCCAGCAACTTTTTGTGGTTATGCCTCCACACCCAAACACATACAATATCGTGACAAATTTTTTTGTGCGTTTTTGCCCACCCCATTCCCAAACTGCCATTTCAGCCTACGCAAGAATGACATCTCCTGCACTGTAAAGCCTCCTGGGATATGTATTTCATTTAAATTCACAGAAGCAGAACTAGAGGGGATCTGGCATGTTTCATCAGCAGGCCTGAACCGGGAAGATATTCTCATTATTCCCACCGCACATGTTCCTGAAATTCAGCTTGAAAGTAGTGGGTGCTGCTGGAATCATCATTACAGATCAATGCACATATTCGCCAGCACACCTTGGATCAACACATGTCCTCCAAAGTTTTTATTGCAGAAAGATCACATCACAAAGAACCAAGTGCAAAGTTTCAGAGCAGCACAGGACGTCTCGTCAGGCATGTCTTTCTGCAATAAAAATTTTGAATGACATTTGACGAGTCAAGGTGTGCTGACATATATGTGCATTGATCTGAAACAGGAAGGGTCACTGGGCAACTTCACGAGTAAGAATGGGATCGTAGGCTGAGACAGTGGTGCAGCAGGTCACAGCATGACAATGTTGGATCCACTGGGCAGGTAAATATGTTCATTTAGGACAATGCTGTATTACTGGGGCGATGGAAAAAAAATTAGACCAAAATTTATTCTTAGTGTTCTTTCACACCAGCGCCGCACTGAACACACAGCCGCTGGGGTGCACTAAAAGGATACAGTGCTGATGCACCGATCCTGGCAATGTACTGGTTCCTTTTTTTCTAAATAGAACTTTGCAGAAATGTTGTAAGTGATGTTTCATTAAGTTCTATTGGTCGTTGCAAAGTGTGATGCGCTGGATTGTGTCGTACCACAGCCCTTTTTTCAGTGAACATCACCGCAGCGCTATGTTGTGGACTGGGTTTTTGCCTTGCCTTGCGTTGGGGTTGCGCCTAGAATGTCCAGCACAGCCCCAGTACACCCAGTGTGGAAGGGCCCTAATTGATCCATTAGCCTTTCTGCTGTACATTGCCTCTAAATATAAAATACCTACTCTGTATGTAGTCCCATAATGTACAAAGTCTGCCATTTGCACTTGGCTGCACAATTTGTACGCTCGCTGCCATATATAAAACTACATATAGAAGATTTATATTAGAAGAAAGCTCCCACAACTATTAGCATTACATGTCAGAGCAAATTATCTGTGTTTTTTGTATACATGCGTTAAAAACAGCGTGCGGTGTCACATCACATTATTATCCTCTGGTCTGTAGCAAACATAAAAACAAAACACAAAAAATGAAAAGGAAAACAAAAGAAGCTTTGAAGTTCAGTACAAAGATTTCTATTGTTTTATTTGGTCTACGTTGTACAAATTAAAAACCAGAAAGATAAAAGGATGTTTTTCTGTGCTACAACTCTAATAGAACTCCAGGCCGATGGAAACCATTTAATACAATTATTTATTCATCGTTCATTCAGTTATGTATTCATTAATGGCTCTTTCACATGGATATATCCACAATACATCCACACAAAGCACAAGACCGTGCTGGCAGCAGGGACATATTTATCGCGAGGCAAACAAGGCGTTTGCCTTGGGTGGCATTTTTCCAGGGGGCGGCGCCACCCCCCCATGCAGAAGTGACACATGTGGCAGGCGGCGACTGAGTTTGGGGAGCAAGTGAGCCACAGGCACAGCAGGAGCTGCTGGAGGGCATCCAACTCTCGTTCCAGGATAATTGGTATAGATCAGTGCACAAGGAAGATGTTGTCCTCTCCCTCTCTCTCTCTCATTGACCTACGCATGTAACGTTTGTGCAACCTTTAGGCCTTGTTCACATGGGTGTACTTAAACACATCCCCATGTAGGCAGTGCTATGTCGTGCCAATTAGATAGTTGCAACCTCCACAGTCCCTAGTCCATCTCGAGAGTGAGCAAGAGATGGTGGCTACATTTCTACATACAGTAGGACCATGGACGTAGCCACCCTCTAAAAGGAATTCAGATTACAGTAACAAAAAAAAGGAACTGAGAGATTTGGGGCAATAGAAGGGACCTGTTAGAGCTAAGAACACATACTTGAATAGATTTTTTTTTAAAAAACAGAGTTTACTGTCTCTTTATTGCTTGCATCAGGCAGCCTTGCTTCCCTTTTGTCCACCAATACTTTTCAAATGCCATGTATATGCAAATGGCAGCTAGAAACCTGAAATGACGATTGTGCTCATGACAAGTGTCATAAGAGTCCGGTTCTTGACCTTCATCAGTTTCTCTATTTATGCAGATATTATTGTAATGCTGCTTCTCATTGATTGATGGTCATGGTTCCTCTTCGTATTCATACATACATTATCTATAACAGTGGACACAGATAATGGGAAGACTCAAATAGAAGTGACTCACTGACTCAAAGGTCTACCAGTGAATTATCTCTCATGACTTGGCCTTCCGAGATAGTGGAGAAGAGGTTGTATTCATTGCCCTGAAGTTTGAAATGTCTGCAATAACCATGGAAGCACCGCTGAAAAAGGCATCAAGATCAACCTATTCTAATTCTGAAAGTGTTAATCCTGAAATAGCCAACACATGAAGAAAGCACTGGGGCAGATGCTTATCCATGTGTGTTAGTGTGGGGAGGGGAAGAGGTAAGTTCTTCTTGACCCCATCAGTAAAAGTCAGATCAATTCCCTAAATCAATCATTTGGCACTTGGCTAGCAGGTGCTGCTAATTATAGATAATAATATGCTTTCTGGAAAATAAATGTAATCTACATCTAAAGAGCGTGTATACACAAACGTTTATTCTAGTTTTGGATGAAATGTGTGTTGGGTAGTTGGAAAGCCCATCTACTCACTTTTTCCTGCCTTGCTCTTGGGTGGTGTCTGGTGATCTGGTGGAGTACTGGGATGGTGGCCACCAGAATTCTAGTGATGATAACGGGACACCTGAATTGCAACCCAGCCTAGTGTGAACTGTACACCCCCAAGGTCCTTTTCTACTCGTTCTGGACTCAGCCGGCAATGGACCATGCTGTGGTCCCAGTGCAAGGGGCATAACAGTTCATCTATGCCATGGGTACAAATTCCAGCATTTCAAGTGGACAGAGAGAGAGAGAGATATGAAGCAGCAGGAGACCGACTACCTAACAAGGAATTTCCAAAGTCCCAACATCCCAACAAGGGATATTAACAGTGCTGTTTCCAGAGACATGAAGCAGCAGGAGACCCACTACCTAACAAGGAGAAATTTCCAAAGTCCCAACATCCCAACAAGGATATTAACAGTGCTGTTTTTCAAAAACAGCCTTCCTGGCTTGTCCCCTAAGGGAAAGCTAAAATGAAGATGGCTTCCCACCTACATAGTGTTGTGTCTCTGGCCCCCTGACATAAAAAAAAAACAGAATATTGTTCAACACGCTGCTCATTCCAACTCTGCAACCACCCCCCTCCCTTCCCAGGCTATATACGACCTATCCCTTTTCCAAGGTGCCCTACTGCTGACAGGGGCAGAGCAATACTTAACCCAGTTGGCTTTAATGGCCAAGGCCAAGGCCAAGGTATATATGTTCATTTCAGGTATAAGATACTATTTTGATTGGACTGAACCAAAAACCCCCCCCCCCCCCCCACTTGTCTACTGCCCATCTCAGAGGCAAGTTTGCCATATACTATACTTTTCTACCAGCAGCTCCAGCCTCCATTCAACTGCCAGTTTTAGTTACTATATTGCCAAAAGTATTGGGGCAGCCCTCCAAATCATAGGATTCAGGTGTTCCAATCACCTCCATGGTCGCAGGGGTATAAAATCAAGTACCTAGGCATGCAGACTGCTTCTACAAACATTTGTGAAAGAATGGGTCGCTCTCAGGAGCTCAGTGAATTCAAGCGTGGTACCGTGATAGGTTGCCACCTGTGCAATAAGTCCATCCGTGACATTTCCTGGCTAATAAATATTCCACGGTCAACTGTTGGTGGTATTATAACAAAGTGGAAGCGATTGGGAACAACAGGAACTCAGCCATGAAGTGGTAGGCCACGTAAAATGACGGAGCGGGGCAGGGCATGCTGAAGCGCAGCATGTGCAGTGCGCAGAAGTCACCAACTTTCTGCAGAGTCAATAGCTAAAGACCTCCAAACATGGTGTAGCCTTCAGATTAGCACAACAACAGTGTGTAGAGAGCTTCATGGAATGGGTTTCCATGGCTGAGCAGTTGCATCCAAGCCTTACATCACCAAGTGCAATGCAAAGTGTCGGATGCAGTAGTGTAAAGCACACCGCCACTGGACTCTAGAGCAGTGGAGATGTGTTCTCTAGAGTGACAAATCACACTTCTCTGTCTGGCAATCTGATGGATGTGTCTGTGCTTGGCCATTGCCAGGAGAACTGTACTTGCCTGACTGCATTGTGCCAAGTGTAAAGATTGGTGGAGTGGGGATTATGGTGTGTGGGGATGTTTTTCAGGGGTTGGGCTTGGCCCCCTAGTTCCAGTGAAGGGAACTCTTAAGGCGTCAGCATACCAAGACATTTTGGACAATTTCATGCGCCCAATTTTGTGGGAAGAGTTTGGGGATGGCCCCTTCCTGTTCCAACATGACTGCACACAAGTGCACAAAGCAAGGTCCATAAAGACATGGATGAGCGAGTTTGGGGTGGAGTCCTTATCTCAACCCGATAGAACACCTTTGGGATGAACTAGAGCAGAGACTGCAAGCCAGGCCTTCTCGTCCGACATCAGTGCCTGACCTCACAAATACGTTTCTGGAAAAATGGTCCAACCTTCCCATAGACACCCTCCTAAACTTTGTGGACAGCCTTCCCAGAAGAGTTGAAGCTGTTATAGCTGCAAAGGGCGGGGCCAACTCAATATTGAACCCTACGGACTAAGACTGGGATGCCATTAAAGTTCTTGTGCGTTTAAAGGCAGGTGTCCTTTATATATATCTATATATTATTATTATTATTATTATTATTATTCAGTATTTATAAAGCGCCAATAGTTCGCTCAGCGCTGTACATTACAAAGGGGGACAGAACATGTGACAGAACAATACCAATACAATGCAAAAACAATGAGGGGATCGAGGGCCCTGCTCTTTCAAGCTTACAATCTAGGAGGGAGGGGATGGTGGCACAGGAGGAGATAGCTGTGGGGGATGGAGTGGTAGGAAGAGTGGAGGAGGTCGGCAAGTTAGCAGGGGGCGGGGTAGGCTTCCCTGAAGAGATGGGTTTTCAGGGTGCGCCTAAAGGAGAGGAGAGTAGGTGATAATCTGATGGGTTGGGGCAGGGAGTTCCAGAGGATGGGTGACACCCTGGAGAAGTCCTGGAGGCGGGCATGGGAGGAGGAGACCAGGGAACTAGAGAGAAGGAGGTCTTGTGAGGAGCGGAGTGTGCGTGCTGGGCGGGGTACTTGGATATTAGGTCAGTGATGTAGTTCGGGGCAGTATGGTGGACAGCTTTGTACGTCAGTGTTAGGATTTTGAATTTGATCCGTTGCGCAATCGGAAGCCAGTGGAGGGATTGGCAGAGGGGGGGGTGGCGGAAACGGAGCGGTTGGAAAGGTGAATGAGTCTGGCAGCCGTATTCAGGATGGACTGAAGCGGGGATAGCCAGCGGCGAGGCAGGCCAGTGAGGAGGGAGTTGCAGTAGTCGAGTCTATATCTATATATATAATATAAACAGAAAATAAAGTTTCAAAAGTGATATCTAGCAAACAATGGTATGTTTGCTTCTGGTGAAGTGAACTTTCAGAAATGGCAAAGGTCATTTGTCTGTAATATTTATGGGTGGGAGTATTTGGTGCTACACACCATTTAACCCGTTACGCGAGACTAATTTGATGCACATCTTCAGCGAGGTGCAGATACATATTACCTAATTCACTGGATGTATGGCTATTATGGGATTATGCATGCACTCTAAAATATAATTTGTTTAATGATATCTTGTCAGGAGAGTAAGCAATTCCTTTAAGCGCTCAAATGAGATTGAGAGCTGCCAATTAACCCTCAAAGCTGCCTATTTAACCTTGAAATCAACAAATCTGATGATAAGTAAAAAAGAAACAAAACTTTTCCAAATTCCCATGTTTGTTCCTGTTATAGGAGTGTGAAAAAAACATTTGAATCTTCTTACAGTCTCTTAATCTTAGCTACTGTATATGTACATCCTTCCATCCATTCATACATTGCTTTTATAGCGGTAGACATCGTCTTTGTGAGCAGTTTAACACCCTTCCAAAATCTTGGAAATAATAGAGGCTCGTGTAAATGAGTGACTACAGGAAAAAAACAGCAATTCATGTTCACCTTCCTAAGTCACCTCCCTGATCAGCAAAAATAGTTACAGATCACAACATGTACATGTACTTTGCACAATGACAATAAAGTTGAATCTAATCTAAACATACAGCGGTACTGAGCTATAGTGATGAATATTGTTGCTCTGCACTCACAGAATGTCCTCAGTCTTTCAGATTGAATTGGTAGACTAGGGTGGATCTGGAAGACTGGGGACATCTAGTGGCAAAAAGAGATTATTGCACAGGACAATTTTTGTAATGGTAAAAACTTATATTGTGGATGACTACAGGAAGAAATAGCAATTCATACTCTTCTTCCTTAGTCACCTTGCCTTCCCCAACTTGCTAATTGGACCGTAAAAGAGCTGCATTGCTTGACGATGTCACCTTGTAGCACAACTGCGCATTTCAGTACTTTGTTCTTTCTCATGAGAAATTGAGGGGATCAATGAGATTGCAAAATCTCTACAAGGCTTTGCCCCCCTCTGATAAAAAGAAAAGCAGCCAGCTCCGAATGCGATGTCCAGAAGGACAACGCTAGATTTGCTTGGCATGAGTATGTTTATTGTGGATAATCCAACACTTAAGGGAGGTGGGAGCAAGGTTCCTTCCTTTATTTAATTTAATGTCCATAAGCATGAGCCCCCACAAAAACATTATTTGAACAACCTTCATTTTTCTAGTCTTATCTTCACTTTCCTGTTATAGCTGGTGTGCAGGGTGTCTAAGTACATTTGTGCAGTTCAATAAGTATCAGAGTACACTGTCCTGTACAGTCAGTAATCTAACAGACCTGGTCAGAAATGCCCCTGTCTTCCAGTTTGAGTAAGGAAGCTTATGATGAGGGGTGTAGCCGAACTCAGCTATGCCAACACAAAGCACTGGAGAGATAGGGCATAAACCATATTATTTTAAAGCATCTGCAAGCAAAAATGGTTAAAAATCACAACATATAGTGGTACAGAACCATAATGAAAAAAAAAAAGTTGTGCTCTGAACTCACAGTATGTCCTCAGTCTTTTGTGTTGAATGGGCAAAAATCAGCTTGGAAGACTGAGGACATCTAGTGGCAGAAAGAGATTACTACAGAAGACTAGGGACATCTAGTGACAGAAAGAGATTACTACGGACACATTGGCAAATTTTAAATTAAAAAAAAAAGGGAACAGTGGCTTAAGCTAGGCATACAGGGGTCAGTTTTTATTAAGCCAGTGGCGGTATTATAACAAAGTGACCAAAAAAAAAAAACTGAATGGATTCCCCTATCCACACATCCAAGGTGGATGGGGGGAATCCTCTCCACTGTGCTATTGGTATTCTGACAGTGGGAACTCTTCTGCTGTCAAAATAAACTGATCAGCTCTGACTAAACAAACATTTTTCAAGAAGCCTCTTCCAAATTTCTATCCATCTATGGCTAGCTTTAGTCTATAACTAGCACTTCAGCCTTCTGGCACTGGGGTCTATGGTTTGCACCTCAACCAGGACACATTCTACATGCAGTTTGCATGTTCTCCCTGTGCTTACATGGGCTTCCGCCCACCTTCCAAAGACATGCTGGTGAGCAGGGGCGGACTGACCATTTGGAAACTCGGGCACTGCCCGAGGGCCCGGGGTCAGTAGGGGGCCCCATGAGATGCCCCTGGTACCTTTTTCATAGGCTTTTTTGAGTTTGGGCAAGGACACAGGGGCCCCATGATCCCCTATTGCCCGGGGGCCCCATGAGTTGTCAGTCCGCCCCTGCTGGTGAGTTAATAGACTCCTGTTTAAGTATATGTGTGCAGTCTAAAAGTCCGAAAGCAGACCCTACTGCTTTGGTATTAATTTCAAGCATGGAGGCACAGAAAAAGTAAGGTTGCAAGGTCTGAAGTGCATTGAAGATCATGGAATGAGATGGGATGTTGTAACATTTCAGAAAAAAAATAGCCCAAAGTAGGGACACACACACATAGATAATAATAAAAAATAAATACATTAATACATTATATATATATATATCTATATATATATATATATATATATATACAGTATATATACACACAAGCGTACCTTAGTTTACAAATTTAATGCGTTCTCCGGGACGTTTCGTGTTGCGAAAAATTTGTAAACCAAAAGCTGGTTTCCTATAGGAATGCATTGAAAACCATTTAATCCATTCCAGAGGTCAGAAAAAAGTAAAAAAAAAAGTATTTATCCTCCTAGATTGTAAGCTCAAAAGAGCAGGGCCCTCAATCCCCTCATGTTTTGCATTGTATTGGTATTGTTCTGTCACATGTTCTGTCCCCCTTTGTAATGTACAGCGCTGAGCGAACTATCGGCGCTTTATAAATACTGTATAATAATAATAATAATATTTTATCTGTTCAAAACTCTTTAGAAAGTGCACTTTAAAGGCATAAATACTGTACAGGCACATGATTAAAAATTTCCAGAATGGCTCCAAAACTCAATACAAAAACTGCTCCAACACCTCCAAACTTGACGCCACGTGCTACCCACAGACTCCAGCATGCACAGGGCTAGTGCTATGAACCTCCCAGGCGTAATTCATCCTGTGGAAACTTGCTTCGTATTGCAAAAAAAATTCGTAAAGGCATTGAAAACCAATTAATCCATTCCTGATGTCTGAAAAAAGTAAAAAAAAAAGTCTTATCTGTTCAAAACTCTATAAAGTGCACTT